TAAAGTTATTTAGCCGCAAGTGACTGTGACCTCTGTATTAGCTGGCATAGTTCTAGACCTTTGTTGCCCTCCTGTAGGGATGGACGTTCTGATTTTTTTTAAGCCTCTGCAGGTTACCTAAAGAGGCTTTATTTATTTATTTTTATTTATTTTTTAATTTCCCAAGTTCTTGTGGATTCTCACGGACAAAATAATTAAAATGTTTATGTTGGGTAAGAGCCTTCCTCCTGAAGCTTACCTTGCTTGCTGGGAGGTTCAGATGACCTCACGATGTAAACATCACACTGAGCAAGCAGGGCCTGGGGCCTAGCCAGCTGCTTCTTGGTATCAGGTTAACTGCCTACACCTTTCCAGTGTAACCTTGGGTCCTGTGACCTGCCATCTAAATATTTAGTTGTTCAGTTGCTGAGGGCGAAAGGATGATAATTTCTTATCAGCAGAGAAACTGGTGTTCTTGAAAAGCTGAAAGCTCATCTCCACCTTCCTCCCCAGTGAAAGAAATGCAGTGACAGGGTGTCCTCAGTCCTTGGGTTGGTGCATTTGGAACAATTTCCCTTCCAGCAAGGATATGGGATTTTGAAAGGTGAGAAGGGCTCAAAGGTCTCCTGTTGCATCTCTTCATACAAGTTTGTTCCTCCTGTATCCTGAGCTAATTAATCATTTCCATCATCTTCGATGGGGATGGAGTCACAGCTCCTGTCCCTTCTTGGCTAAGGTTTGAAGTGTCCTGGTGCCTCTGTAAATCACAGCAGGCTCCTCTAAGCCAGCAGCTGACCCAGGGGTTGGGAAGGAAGGGCATTGCTTCTTCCTTAGATCCCAAGAGACAACTTTGAGGGGTAGGGGCATGACTCAAGTGGTAAAGCACCTGCCCAGCAAGTATCAGGCCCTGAGTTCAAACCCTAGTACTGCTACATACACACACACAATTATAACAAAGATTACTTTGCTTTTGCATTATAGTGTACTAATTATCCATCTTCTAGTTGAGTATGTAGAGGTATTGTTTATTTCTCTATTAAATTTTTTTTTTAGTTTTTGGTGTTACTGGGGATTGAGCTCAGAGCCTTTGCACTTGCTAGGCAAGCGCTCTACCACTTGAGCCACGCCTCCCAGCCTTTTTTTGCTTTATGTCATTTTTCAGATAGAATCTTGCTTTTTTTGCCCAGGCTGGCCTGGGACCATGATCCTCCTAGCTATACCTCCTAGGGATGACACTGGCATGAGGTGTACCACCATGCCCAGTTTGTTTTGTTGAGATGGGGTCTGGCTATCTCCCCTCCACCCCAGATCCTCTGGATCTCTGCCTCCTCAGTAGCTAGATTACAAGCGTGAGCCCCCCAATCTAACCAATTCACCGGCTTACAAGGCTGCATGTAACCCTGAGAAGGGTCTACAATTAAGTTGCTGGATTAGGTTGGCTTTTAGAAGTGGGGCCTGGGATGGTATGGGGGCAAAAGAAGGTGTTCTAGGAACCCCAGAACCTGCTCCTCCGCTGATACCTGTTGGAGCATCATTTGCAAATACAGTGGGACATCAAGATGGTTGATATGTGATCTAATGTCAGTATTTCATTTATGAAGTTCCCTCATCCCCACAATAATCCCATAGACTAAGCATAATAATAAGCACCCCTTATTGGGAGATGGAAGTGCTTAAAAATAAAGCAGTTTGCCTGAATTTGCTGAATTGAGGGGCAGAGCTGGACTTGATGAATGTTTTCTATTGTGCCTACCCACAAACTTACATGTACACAGGAGGTACCGCTTTAAAGCATATCTTAGGGAAGGCTTGATCAGCATCGTTTCATCTTGGATTTAGGTTAAACACAGCCTGTGCATCTCTAGTGGTTAGAGACACTGGTTATAGTGAGGAGGCTGTGTCATGATGGAACAGCTACCAGGGCAACTGTGTGTTTGGGGATCTGCCCAACTCTAGGCAGGTGTCTGGAAATGATAGCTTGACACTGGAGCTATTACTTGATGGTAAATGCCTCGCTTGTTCCAGGCTCATCAGAATTGTAACAATTTGCATCTGGGTTAAGAAATGAACAAGTGATGAAAATTGCAACACAAGTGTCAAAATTTGGTCATGGCATGCTTCACATAGTGACAGAACAGTGGAAAAATTTCAGCAATTTACTTGCATCCTAGCCACTTGATCAGAGGGTAAACCTGTCTTCACAAATCAGAGTTTTAGGCCAAAGCAGTCTCTGGAAGGAAATTACTCAGGGAATGTCTACCCAAGGGGGGACTTTCGTTGGGTTTGTACCATCCCCTGGAGCTGTATATTTCTCCTGCCCTTTTCTGATTGACTGGGGGTGTTTTGCAACACTGGTATCTGATGTGACATGCACTGAGCTATGGAAATTGGATCTGTCTGGCCCGGTTCTCCTTTGGAAGATGCCAGCTTTCTTATTCCTTATAGTTTCTGGGAAGACCAGGTCCTGGACCTCCCTGGCATTGTGTGCCCTGTGGGAAGAGTTCTATTTAATAAATTGTACATTCCCTCAGGATTTGAGATATAGTAGGGCAGGTCCAGGATCTGAAAGTTCAAGAATAACTAGATCTCTGTAGAAATTTCTGGGAGGGTCCAAACCTGGGAGGGTAATCTCTAAACCAGCCCATGATCCTGGAGGTTGAGGACGTTCCTGGATCTGGTTTAAGTCTTACAAGGGATCTCTGGCTTAGTTTGTACAAAGCAAAATTTGGAGGACTGAGCAGAGTGGAGTGGGCATTGTGAGCACACAAGTCAGGTGGCTGCTAAAGGTGATGAATTCAGTGACATCTCCTGTCACCTTGCCCTTCCTCTGCTCCTGCGTCCAGAAGCAAATCCTCTAGTATCCCCAAAGTCTATCAGTCATGACAAGAGCAAAACAGAGGCACATTTCACTGTAGAAAACTCTGATTTTGTCAGAATTTTATTCTTGCTGAGAAGGTGAGGCCTCGAAGACACTAGTACAATCGAGGCCCAAATGCTTGAGATATCATTATTTGGAAAACATTGAGATTATATATGCAATGCTTCATATTCTTTGACACAGTGAGGTGAAGTGGCACAGTGGAAACATGAAACCCCCTGTTCTTGTACCTTAATAGAAATCACCAGTTTTATGCAAGCTTTGTCATTATTTTGTGTCGGGTACAAGTGGAAAATAAAATGAAGAGTTAGAAAATCAGATCCGAATCACCAATGATTACAGAAGCTCTTGCACATTCCTACTTTTATATGTGCAGCTATGTCCTTGTTTGGAAGTGGTCTGAGTGCTGGTACAATGATGACTGAAAGAATAATTTTTATAGCAGGAAGAAGACAACTATAAGAATCTGACACCAGCTGGTCACCCAAAGTTGGTAGAGAGGAGCATCAAACTGCAAATCCCAAGCATCCCAAACACTTGCATACTACCTTACAAAATGACAGTGACTGTGTACACCAACCTCTGCATGAAAACAGGAGAATCCAGCTGACTGTTTGTTTAGTAATTCCAGTATAGGAAGATTGCTACTGTTTGACTTAAATTACATTTTTAAATCTGTCCTTGATTTTTTTTGTTTCTAAGCATAAAAGTGTAAGAATTTATCTTAGTGCTAAAATGTGTTGTTCTAGCCAAACTAGATTTACTTTTTGGATTAATCTCCCTCCCTAAATTTAATCAGCAGCAGACATTATATTTAGTCCTTGACTAACAGGAAAAGATCCAGGCAATATGCTCTCCTTGGAGCAGCCAATATTGTGAGATGGTCTCTTTCACCTTCATACTCTAGGTGGGATATTTTATTGTGTGATTTATATATTCCTTTATAGGGAGTATATAGCTCTCTCTCAGGGATACATCTACATCCATAAACATCAATCATTGATGTTCTTAAGGTGTCCTTTGAACATTAAATAACCACAGTGCGAACATCCCAGATTAAAGAAATTTCAACAAGAACTTGATTGATATCAGGTATCCAAAAGATCTTTCTCAGGGATCCATGCCACTGATAAGAAAGAGAGAGTCCTTCCTCTAGAGTCTATTTCAGGCATAAAATATTAAATATGAATTCATAAAAGGCATATTACTCATCTTAAATCAATTCACCATGCTAACAACCAAGGTTGAATGCAGTTTGTGGTATTTAGCTCTTATGCAGGATAAGTAAAATTCTTAGACAGATAAGATCTTAAACATGAAATATGATTGGAGAGCTCAGCAATTCAGAGCGCCACCTCTGGGGTCAACCTGCTTAAATGGGATCCCTGCCCACTGCATACCGCCTGTGAAATCTTAGATAAAGTTACTAAACTTAAGGCCTGGTTTTCTCATCTGGTGTAGAGGTATATATACATACATATATTCATCAGAATTAAATAAGTTATTACATATAAAATGCTTAGCACAGTGCCTGGAATGCTATAAGGACTCAAATAATTGTAACTACTACTGTTATTATTATTACTATTATTACCATATTGCTACAATATTATATTGTTACTTTCATCCTAGATGGAAACATTTAAACAATTGCCAGTTGTCACTGCATTTTACTTTCTTCCATCATTTGAAATAAAAACTAGACCCAAGAGTGCAAGACATTAGACCTTAAGCCACAAACATGGTGCTGAGTTTGAGAAGTCCCACTGCTTCCAATTCTTATGATCAAAGCATCCCAGCATTTCTGAAACTTGATGGTGTCTTATAGACCATGGACGGCAGGTTCTTTATCCACAGGAGAGGAGTAAGGCCTCAACTGAGGTGAAGTGGGAAGGTCACAGTTGGAGGCAGTGTCCAGGATGGGAACTCCAAGACCATCTGCTCCCTTCCTTGCCTTGACCTTGAGGATTCCACAAGAGCTCTTATTTTGAGTTGGTCTTTGCCAAGTCTTTCTGTCTCTCTGTCTCTGTCTCTGTCTCTCTCTCTCTGTCTCTGTGTCACACACACACACACACACACACACAACACACACACAGAGCAGCTGCAGTAGCAGCGGGAGACCATCTCCCAGAATTCTCCATACCTGTTTGGAAGATGATCCACTTGAAAACTGAAATCGCTCACTTGTCCCTTGTCCCCAAAACTGATCTCGTTTCTTCTCGTTTGGATCTCTTCTGTATTCCTGTCGTCTCAAACAAGCCTAGAGAACAAAAACTTTCTTTATCTTTGGACTGTGACTGGCTTTCGTAACTTTAGGCTTAATTCCGAGGGTTCAGCCCATAGTTGCTTTGCCTTAGGTACTTGGGCAGAACATCATGGAGGCAGGAGAGTGTATCAGAGGAGCTTCTTCACCTCATGACAGACAGGAAGAAACAAAGAGGAAAGGACCAGAGACCAAGTATAACCTTTGAAGGCACACCCCAGTGACCTACTTCCTCCAGCTAAGTCCCACACCCTGAAGTTCCAACCACCTCCCAAAATAGCACCACCAACTAGAACCAAGTGTTCAACACGTGAGCCTGTAGGGGACATTTCATATGCAAACGATAACACATCTGCTGTGTTACCAAGTATAAAGACCAGACATCGCTCTAACTCCTCCTCTGACCACCCCACTCTTCCTCTTGGACTCCCCCTCGTTACAGGAGAACACTTTCATGCATTATCATAACATTCCCACGGTGGCCCCTTGGTTAATCCTGCTGATCACGAGACCCATATGCTATCTCTTGAGTGCGCCTTGATTTACAGCTCTTCTCTAGGCTGAATTAATTGCTGAAGGAGCATGTACAGCAGTCTCCCCTCATTTCCATCTACACTTGTGCAATTGAAGTTACATATGGGCAACCTTTACCCAAAAACGTTAAATGGAAGATTCTAGAAACAGAAATTTCATAAATTTTCACCTTTGCACCATTCTGAGTAGCATGATGAAATCTCACTTGGTCCCACTCTATCCTGCCCTGGACATGAGCCATCTCCTTCCCAGTTCTGATAAATATGCTACCCGCCCATCAGTCACTGAGTAACTGTCTTGGTTATCAGGTCCACTGTGGGAGTATCAAGGTGTTTTTGTTAGAGTAAACCTTATTTTACTTAATAATGGCCCCAAAGCACAAGAACGGTGATGATGGGAATTTTCTGTATTGTTATAATTTTCTCTTTTATTATTCTTTTATTATGCTTAATTTATAAATTAGACTCTATCATAGGGATGTAGATATTAGACAAAACGGAACATATATGATTCAGTACTATTTGCAGTTCCAGGCATCCACTGGGGTCTTGGAGTGAGTCCCCTGCAGATAACACAAGCTGACCTTTGTAGTACACATTTATTCCTATTCTGTAGTTAGCTGGTTTCAATTTTTTAGTCGGTTCCTCCTGCTGATCAAACTGGGAGTCCCAGGAAGAAGGACCACCATCCTCTGAATATCCTAGCACCTGGCACTTAATGTTAGTTGAATTGCATGTTTGCTTGGGAGGAAAATATCAATCCTTAGATATAAAACAATAAAAATAAAATAACCAAAATAATTTCCCCATTTTTAAATTTTTGGCAAAATTAAAATTTGGTACCAAATATTTCTCCTCCAGTATGAGAACTGAACAAACCCAAGGATCTTATGTGGTATGGGGATTTCAACTGGTATTTTAAGTACTCAAATAATAAAACTCCTTGGAACATTGCCATACTTGTCCATTCAAGGACCTAATTTACCTTTGACCTGCCAGAGCCAAGTAGTCCACTATTGTTTGTAAAGAAATTTGATGTAAACCAAGCAAGGTGGCTCATACCTGTACTCCTAGCTACTCAGGAAGAGGATGAGGAGGATGAGGTTTGAGTTCACCATACCCCATCTCAATCAATAAAATAACTGGGTAGGGTGGCATTCTCCTGTCAAGCCAATTACATAGGTGTGAGAGGCATAAGTAGGGTCCCAATCCAGGCTGATCTGGGCATAAATGTGACACCTTATTAAAAAAAAAATAAAGTAAAGCAAAAGTGACTGAGGGTGTGGCTCAAGTAATAGAGTACTTGCTTAGCAAGTGCAAGTCCCTGAGTTCAAATCCCAGTAGCACCAAAAAAAAAAAAAAAGACATAAAAATCAATAATATATTGTTACTAAAGTAGACCTGCCATCTCCCCACTTCCTGGCTGGGTTGAGTTAAAAAAGATTTTTTGAGCAGTTTTTTTCCCTACTGTTAGAACTGTTAGAAAAAGCATTTCCCTCTGTGATGTAGGAAGGACGTAACAGAAGTTCATGTCATGGGGAAAGCCTACAAGGTGAAGAATGGAAATGACCTGATTCCAGAAAAATAGTTACCACATGGAATTGGGAACAGTCCCACTGTGCTTCATTCCTGTATTGCCGGTGAAGCCCTGGCCCTGTCCATCCACACCAGTCAAGGATTCGCCTGCAGCGGATGCACCGTGGACTCCAGGAGAAGGGTGCAATTTCACCTGCCTTGCTAGGAATGGGAGAACACTCCAGAATGGTTGGTTTGCTTTTTTTGCTACTCTGCAGTTCATCTTATCTTCAAAAAGTATGCCACACAGATAGTAAGTCATTGCAATGGAGATGGGGCACTGTTTGTTTTGTTAACATAACAAGATAATTCAAAGAACACTGACAGTAACTGTAATAACAAACCTAGGTGAAGTCAAAGTGAGTTAGCCAAAGACCGCTTTGAAGTTCAACGGAATCTGAGCCACTTTTTGGTTTATTCCTTTCACAGTGATTTATTTATTTACTTACTTACTGGCGGTGCAGGCTTCACACTTGTTGGGCAAGCATTCTACCAGTTGAGCCACTCCATCAGCCCTTTTTTGTGTTGGATATTTTTGAGATAGTCTCTCGAACTATTTGCTCAGGCTGGCCTTGAACCATGATCCTCATGATCTCTTGTCTCTGAAGTAGCTAGGATTACAGGCATGCCCCATATTTTTCATGATGACTTCAAGTCAGAGCTCCTGTTGCTGAGAGGGAGCCTGGGGTGTGGAGGGCTATTTCCTAAAGTGGCAGATGTCTGTGTCACCTTAACCTACTGGTATTAAAGGCAAATTGTGGCTGGGCTGAAAGTGGAGGAGCCAGGGTGAGTAAACACACGTGTGACCAAGAAAGATTTTGTGGGATGAAGAGGATTCTTGTGGGCTGAGTGTTTTTTGAAAATTCTCTCCAAGAATGCATATGGCTTAAATATTTCTTTACCAAAAGGGGAGGAGAAATAGGTTAGTTTGCAACATTGAAAAAAAATACTTTTTTCTCTGCTTCCTTTTTCCTCCTTTCAGATTAGCACAAACCAGTGGCAGGGTAGGTACTTAATGAATTTTTATCTTGAGACAGTGGAGCAATCTTTGTGTAAATCACACATGAATCCTTTCAAAATTATAGCTCTTCTGAGAAGGAACACAGAAACAGAACAACCAGATGTCCAGTCTGAGAAATGACAAAATTCTGGCCATGTTCTCTCCCAGGGTGACAATTGTCATTGTATTTGTAAATGTGAATTTTTTTATTGTTGCTGCTGATGTTTCTATGGTTAGGGATCCAGAGGTGAAATCCCTGGTGGGGAGGAAGAATGAATTGGAAATTCATAGCCACTTTCCCTGGACTTCTAAAATAGTCCTCATTTATTACCACATGTCAGGATTTAGATGGCTCTCAATGAATTTTGGATGTGTGGCAAGACCATCAGAGGGCAGTCTTGAAGCTGCAGGCTTCAGGTGACTTCTTATTTCTTCCTTTATGGAGAACTGGGGCTTCTTCCTTGAATGGAGTCCCCTTGCTGCCGTCAGCTCGTCCCTCTGAGGACAGCACACGCAGCCAGGCAGCCTTCTGCGCAGAAGCTTGCACTGAGGGGGCAAATCACAGAGTGTGCATATCTGCCTGTGGGGAATGGCGTGGGTTTTGTGACTCACTGTAACTCGATCCTGGTAAACATGACAAACCCCAGCTCCGCTACTTTCTAGCACTGAGACCTTGGGCAAGCTGACTAACTCCATTCATTGTCCCTTCCCTCATCTGTAAGAGGGAGATGTCCCTGTGTGGTGAGGTTAGGAGGAGAGCAGAAGGTTCTGCCAGGAGTAGGTTAGCAGTGACTGGCCTGTGGTGAGGGTCAAATAAAAGTCCCCCCCCACACCAGTTTCCCATTATCATCATCGTCAGGCTTTTAATTGCTGTTTTCAATCCTACTCCCTGGTTTATTTCTGTTTCTAAAATCAGCCTTTGCCAAAGCATGTGACTGTGATCTTGGTCACAGAAGAAAGAGTCTTTCTGTCTTGGTCTGAGGCGTACTCTTGCCCTGTAAGGAGAGGCCTGTTCCCAGCCCACAGTAGCCAGCCAGCCAAATGAGGGTCTCTGTATTCAGTTATTTAGGGTCACACAGTAAACCACTTTTTCTTTGGCATTACAGCACGGTTGTGCTCAGAGATCTTTTATTATTATTATCATTATCAGTTCGCTCCCTCCAGTCAGGCTCCAGGCTCCTGATGATTAAGAAGCCATGTGTTGGGCCAGTGGTGGTGGTGCACGCCTATGGTCCTAGCTACTGGGGAGGCAGAAGTAGGAGGATCGTTGTCCAAGGCAGGCTGCTGCAAAAGCAAGAGACCCTACCTGGAAAAATAAACTAAAAGCAAAAGGATCAGGGGTGTGGCTTGAGAGGCAGAGCAAGTGAGAGGTCTTCAGTTCAATCCTCAGTACTGTGGAAAAAAAAGAAAAAGAAAAAGAAAAAGCTACCACATGTCACAGGAACACCTCCCAGTTGCATGATTCTTGTATAAAAATCATCATAAAAATGACCCGACTTTACATCTCAGTCAATAAAAGCATCTGCAAGGTTGCTGTTACTCTAACCCTGAGGCATTTTGAGACTTGTGAGTTGTCACCGGCTTCCATTGGTTCTTCTCTGCTGCTCTTATGATCTAATATATATATATATATATATATATATATATATATATATATATATATATATAAAACCCAGAACTCTGGAGTTTTAATTATCATTGATGACATCATTAAAGTTCATTAGTTTTAAGAGGTTAAGAAATTGAAGGCAGAAAAAGTTTGACACTGGGCTGGAGGCGTGGCTCAAAGTGATAGAGTGCCTGCTTAGCAAGCACAATGCCCTGAGTTCAAAACCCAGTCCCCCCCTCAAAGTTTGACATGATACTGCCTTCATAGGCTGTGAAGAAGAAAGAAGAGGTACCTCAAAGGTGAGTGGGAAGAGAATTCTCTCCCTGACTCCTGTGGAAAGGGAAGTTGAATTTCAGATTGAGAATCCCTCACCTGAAATGTTTGGGACTAGAAGTGTCCCAGATTCCAGATTTTAGAATATCTGCATAGATTACATATTGAGATATCTTGACGAGAAGGCTCAAGTCTAAATACAAAATTCATTCATGTTTCATATATACCCTATATACATAGCCTGTAGGTAAATTTAATTTATACAATCTTCTTTTTGCATGAAAAATTTTCATTTATTTAATTTGGCTTCTGAAAGCCAAATTGTCTTTATTTAATATTTTAGTAATTTTAAGCTTGAAAAAAACTTTCCTGGTGTGAAACTTCCACTGTGGTATCATGTTGGAGCGTTTGGATGTGGGGCTTTTGAGATTCGGGTTACTCAACCTGTCTCTCTCCTCCCAACCTTTGCCACCTGGTACAGAGTCACCTATCATATCCTTGAACAGATTTATATTGTCATGTGTAGTTGTTTGATCTGCACTTAAAAGAATAAAGATGAATAAGTGACATGAAATGAAACCAGTTTGAACACATTTGATAGATTATAGAAATTGTTCTGAAATGCCAAGTGTAACCTTGCCCTCCAGCTTTCCATGGGACATTAATGGCTAAATTCTGCCTCCAGTTACATAAACACATTTGACCAAAAAAAAAAAAAAAAAAAAAAGAGCTGTGCAACATGAGTGCCCTTGAAGGAATGGAGCCAAACTCTGAGATGACATATAATTATACGCTAGTTACCAGATTCTGAAATAGCATGTAATATGCCAAAGAGATGTTTATTTCCTCTGATTTTCTCAAAAGCGTCCCACCCAGCCACTCAAAGGAGCAGTATCAAAATAACTCAGGGTGGGTTTGTCCCTCTTCCCTTGCCACTCACACAGAGACCTGTAAAGGCACTGCTAATTTAGTGCATACCAACCCTTAGTGTATTTTAGGATGGAGCAGGAATAGCTCACATGGGAGGTTTTGAAGGGCTTCAATTTGAGCTGGTTCATTAAAGGCAAGTCAAACACAGGAAGGCATATGTCTATAATTCCAGTCATGTGGAGTCATTAGGCCTTACACTATTTGTACATCCCGATGTGGGGAATCCCTGGCATCTGAGAGAGAGAGGGAGAGAGAGGGAGAGAGAGAGAGAGAGAGAGAGAGAGAGAGAGAGAGAGAATTAGGATTTCCTTAGGCAGTAGTGGGTCAAGCTCATTAATTACTTAGGGTATCAATATTTATCCCATGCAAGGTCTATCTTAGCAAGCCATATAATACACATTGACCATATATGGACCAAGCTGTTGGGCAGTTACTGCAGTCATGCAATTGATTTTTTTTTTCCTTGAGGCAGGGTCTTGCTATGTAGCTAGAGGAGACACATGGTCCATAGAAGGTTTTGTTCTTTGGTTCTTATGATGGGAGAAACTTGAATATGTTTATAGATAGACTAAAGGGATGGTCAAAGACTCAGACAAGAGGCCCCATGAATGGGAGAGGGTGAAGAGCTGAGGGGTGGGGCCAAGAGATCAGCTGGTCACTGCTGGAGTAGGGTTACTCCATCCTCCTAGACTTGAGAGCTGGAAGGGTGTGTGGCCTGGGATGGCAGGGGAGGAGGTTAAGGGAGAAGGTGGAGTGGGTTCCCACCTGCTTGCTTTGGGTTTTTTGTTTTGTTTCATGTGTATGAAACAAGAGGGGAAGCTGTTAATAGTATGGAGGTTGGAGGTTTGAAGAATGGAAAGGTTTAAAAGACACAAGTAAGTGTTGAAGCAAGTCATCCTCATTCTTTTCCTTCCCTCACTTCCACTCTTCATCCATTAGCAAGATGTCTGCTCTGCTTCTGTTTCCTGGGTTGGGCTTCCTTTTCCCACCTTCATATGTACCAATCTGGTCCAAGTCACCATAATCTCTCTCCTAAATTTTTACCTTAGTTTCCTTATGAGTTTTCCTGCTTTTTCTCTTGCTCTTTCTAGTCCTTTCCCCCACACGGAAGCCAAAATGGTCTTTAAAAAAATCTAAATATTGCTCCTCTTTGGAAACATCCAGTAATTCTCATTGTGACAAGAATCAAATCTAAAGGCCAAGTTTTGTCCTATGAACCCCTCCACTTCCTCATGATCCACACTTTGCTTTGGTGAGTGGTTTTCAGCCACTCTGGTCTTCTGTTTTCTTCAAGGTTCCAAGTTAGCTCTTGCCTCAGGACTTTTGCACTTGCTTTCCTTCTGCTTGGTAGGCTTTGGGGGGCTCTTTCCTACCATTCACTACCATGGACATATGGCACTTCCTCAAAGAGGCCTTCCCCACCTGTCGAAAGCAGCATCGTCTCTATCCTCATTCCCAGTTTTATTTTCCTCATGTCTTTATCAGTACATGTATCAGCTATCTATCGCTGCAACAATAAATCAAGTTGAGATAAATCAACTTAAATAGAGGAAAGTTTTCCTCTATTTCCCTCTATTACCCTTTGAATCCTCCAAGGTCCTAAGACCTCTCACTAAGCCCTACCTCTTAAAGGTTCCACCACGTCCTCATCATGCCAAGCTGCAGCCCAAACCTTTAATACATAGACTTCTGAAGGACATTCTAGATCCAAACTAGAGCAGTAACTAAAGCTCTGTTGTACTCACGTGTGTTATTTTCTTCTCAAGCCTAGAATCAGAACTCCAGAAGAGCAGGGGTCTAGTTCAGCACATAGTAGGCACTTAATAAATTGAATATTGGTTGAATGAATGAAAAAGCAGTGTTGAAAGCTCAACTGAGATTAGAAAATAAAACTGCAGTGACTCCAAGCCACACAGTTGTGTAATTTTCTTCACTGGGGACCAAAATAATAAGATTGATTTTCTTGTGTGTCTGTTCTAGAGACAATTTCAAACAAATATTGCCAAACACGAGTCAGGTGGCAGAAGCATCTTTGTGAAAAGCAGATGGACTCCTAGGGTGATCAGACTGTATGTTGACATTCTCGCTTGTTTTCTAGAAGTTTCCTTGGTTTTATAGTCTTCTTGGATGTGGGTTGACAAGTTGTGGAAGGAAATTGCTGACTCCATTTCCAGCCCCAAAGTGAAGCCGTGTTGTATAGGTGAAGTCAGGTTACTGAGATAAGTCTGGTTTCCTTGGTGACCCAGGAGGTGGGTTATATTTGAAATTGCTAAGAAGGAAAAAAATCTGATAAGGGCAGATCTGTGTTCTTCTTAGGGAAGGAGTTCTTTCCAGTCTTTCCCTGGGGCTGAGGACAAGCTGCCTTGAATGGCCGACATACCTACTCAAGAGGGGGATGAGTGACACTTCTGAACTGCTCCCAGAATCCCACAACCCAGTCTGGCCAGTTTGTCCTATGCCAGCCCCAGGTAATTGCATCATGACCCTGCAGGCTCCCTCTCTGTTTTGGTTTGGCATGTAAACACTGTAACCACGGAGACCAATAGTCAGATTACTGTAGAATGTGCTAACCACCTTTCTTATGGCCCCCATGACAACAGAAAAGCATGCTTTTTTATAAATGGTAGGGCAACCCAGTTAACTCCTTAATGTCTTTTACTTCTCCGTTGGTTTGTCAAGTTTGAACCCTAATGTCATTTGTTGCCAAGAGCTTCGTGCTAAACACCACACTAACTGCTTTAAAACACACACACACACACACACACACACACACACATTTATCTCATTTCATTTTCCTGACAGTATTATGAAGAAGGTACTGTCATTCTCCCCATTTCACAGACGAGGAAACTGAGACTCAGAAAAGTGAAGTGGATTTCCATGTTCACCCAGCTAGTAAGGAGTGTGTTGGGGATTTTAGAAAACTCTTACTGCTTATCACATACTGATGCTGCATTCTGAATGCTCTCTAATACTGGAAGAAAAGGCAGACGATAATCTTCACTTTCTGCAATTACCTGATATTCAGAGTCCACCTTATGTTGCATGTCCCGCAGATGCTGAACATCATCAACGAGCTTCTGCCTGTCCCTTGCTTCATGCAGCATGGTTCTTAATCCGCGAACTGCATATGAAGGAAAAATAAATAAGCTGTGTCAGACTCCTCTGTGGCTTTCCCATATTTGAATGCATCTTGGTATAATTGCTTTTATTCTCTTATTAATCTGATCTCCATTGCTTGAAAGGCACAGATGCTCCTTTCAGACTGAGGGGCTTCTCGTGTTGGTGACGAAGCTCTTACAGCCCTCCTGTTCCAGACATAAATAATGCAGCCACACTCATCAGGTGGCTTCAGCGATCCTATCCTGGGTATTCATGGGTTGACAGACACCTGATTCAGAAGCAGTTCTACAACAAGACAGAAAAAATCTGGGAGCTTAGCAAATCAGCAGTGACTAAAGTTATGACCCCTGGGTTGCTTGAATTCACTTGTGCAACAATTATTGCACCCTTATTCCACCCAGGCACTGTACTAGGCGCTGACTGCTCCCTGCCCTTGTGTTGCTTACAGCCTGGCATTGGCAAGTGAACCTTAATTGTCACCCAGCATTCACCTAGTGAACCCTGGCAAGCACCCTAACTGCTGAGGCAGAGGATGAGGTTATTGTAGGCAAGCATAACCTGTCTGGAGGCGTCAGGCAAGGCTTTCTAGAAAATGGCTCTGGGTTTGATAAGAAGTGAGCTAGGGTAGAAGTGGGACAGAGAGGACAGCAGATACAGAAGCGTCAGAACAGATGCAGATGAGGAAGCGGGGCAGGGAAGCCGGAGCGGGTGGGGGGGTGTCGGCGGGGACCAGCTCATGTGGAGCCTTGAAGGTCATGACTGGAAGTCATATGATGCCACTGAAAGGTCCAGACTGGGAAATAAATGATTAGATTTATATTTGAAAACATCCCTCCAGGTGTAGTTTGGAGAGGGAAGTATGGAGATGGAGGAGGAAGGCGGGGAACATGAAAGTGAGAATGCCATTGGAATAAATGATGGCAATCAGATGTGGTAAAATGATGGTCATGCTTGGGTATAAGATGGAGGGAAGGAGGAGGAGGAAGAGGAGGAAGGAAAGATGAAAGGGAGGGAGGGGATCTTAACTTCTATTTAGCAGCCTCTGGAAGTGCCAGGCACTGTTCTAAGCATCCACCGTATTAACTCATCCAATCTTTATAACAATACAATGAAGCAGGCCATATATCTCTATTTTGCAGGTGAGTAAACGGAGGCAAAAAAGCTTAAGTAACTTGTCTAAGGCTGTGCAGCTAGCAAGTGGAAGAGTTTGGATTTGAACCCAAAGAGCCCCATGCCAGTGCCCGCACTCCATCATGATGGATTGGAGGGACACTCAGGAGAGAAAACCCTGTGTCCACCATATTACTGGCCCGAGCAGCTTGCAGGTTGTGCCAACACTTCCTTCAGAACACAGAGGTGAGAGTTTTGTGAGAAAAAAATGTGGAGTTTGAAGTGTCTGGGGTGCCACAGATGGAGGTGTGAAGCAAGCAGTTAGACAGAAGGCTCTGTAGGTGATGGGAGATTTGGGCATTGCTGGTGTTTTGGTGATAATTGAAGAGGAAGTAGAACAGGTACTGAAAAGACAAAGTGGACACAGATGAAAGAGTAATGAACACTAAAATGTAAGGGACAGGTAGCTGAGAGGAAGGAGGAAGCCAGGTAGGGGCCCTTTCATAGGTGTCAAGAGTGTTTCCAGGATGTTATTAATAACCTTGGTGAGAACAGTTAGTGGAGTGCTTAGTGGACAGTAAAGAAGTAGGGACGATGCTTTCAAGAAGTTAGGCTCTGGTTGACCTGACCTAAATTTATGACCATGATACTAACACTCCCAAAGTTATAAAACCGCACTGTTCATAGTGAGACTACTAGACCTCATCTGTAGGCACATCAAAGCTCCCATGATTCCTGCGTATTGTCCAGGGAGCTCTTTCACTTATTTCTACACATATTTTTTTCAATGACTACAGTGTGACAAGGGCTGCTGTAGGCTGTAGGATAAGACAGTAGGATAAGACAGATGACGTCCTAACCCTCAGATGTATGCAGTCTGAGGCTTTCCTGCCCTCCTCCACTTTATTGGGTTGTGTAGATATTGGCAGTCAAGGTTGTCCCTGACTCATGGTGACCCAGTGTCTGGTCTTGTAGTTATGAAATCTTGCAAGGTCTATCATCTATCCCTGAGCAATATGGAAAACTTTTGCTGGTCCCCCAGAGGCTATTTTCAACTCTCAGGTGTAGAAAGTTGGTCTTTGAGAATTAAAGTCTGAAATTATAACCCAGTATGTAGTTCCACAGTCTGAAGCTGAACCTAAAGTGTGTCTCTCAGCATTTTAATAGCCATTTATGGGACTATATTTTTTAAAAATCACTTTTAACTTTTCATATAAATGTGTACCTGCATAGAATGAAGTTCTGTTCCCACTCTTTACAGAAAATGATGGTGTTAAAAACAGAAAGATGAACCCTGTTTGAATATTAATCAGGCAGAGAACATAAGGATTCATAATGAGAATATGCAAATGGTCACTAAAGGGGCACAACCCACAGTCACTAGGATGATACATTTTGTTTACAAAGTCAACCCAGCAAAGCCAGCTCAGCTATCATGGCTTTAGCCATTATTTTAAGGAGGCTTCTAAATCAGGAGGCATGAAATAACTTTGTTTAAGGAGGTAGGAAATAACACTATCTGAATAACTTGCTAGGTTACTTCTGACTTCACAATCACCTACCAAATAAAGGACTTTAAAATTGCCTACAGAAGTCTCTTTTCCTCTTATAAACTCTCCATCACATTATATTTTACTATAAAATAAGTATTTGGAAACACCATGGTGCCATATGTAATTTCTCACTTAAATACACCAAGACTTTGTGAGACTGTTAGAGACAGACCAAGGAGACGGTGCATTATCTCAGGTGAGGTAAATATACTCCAAGTTCACCTGAACTTCATATGCACCACGAGTTTGAAAAACTGACCAGGACGTACAAGAAACAGAAATAACTGTATGGAAATAAATCCACACGAGACAATGCTTAATTAGTGGAGCCTACTCAAGCAGATGGCCATTTGAAACCAAGAGTTTTCCTCTGCAAATACAGACAGGTGGGGGGAGCCAGGGGAGAACGATAACAAAGTGTTGGGAGGCAAATGTTTCTAAAATAGCATTCCATATTGTCTTCCACTGCTCACCTTTGAACTGCTTCTCAACTTAAAATCCACTCATGGTCATGTACACTTCTGTTTTAAGTCTCTGGCGATAAGGTGCTGTGCCAAATTTGTGCTTTGGAAATCAGCGGAAGAAGCCATATTAAAGAGAGGGCTTTTAAAGGGGGAGGGAGGAAGAGACATGTGGGGAAGGGAGAAGGGAGGTGGTTTTGCTGAAAGCAAGAGCAAATGATTCTTCTTGGCCCCAAAATTCTACACATCTGTGAAATTTCAATGAGGAATATTCTAGGAACTTTGTGACATATGAATTCCTCTCTAGTGTAAATTTCCAATGAATTCAAACCGAGTTTCCCTGACTAAGGAGAACAGAATTTGATTGCAGAATATATTTCTTTCAGTTCTCTTAAAAAATCACATATATGTCTGTGTGCATATATATATATATACATATATATATATATATATATACCCCATCTCAAAACCAAAACCAAAGCAAAAAAGTTCAAAAACGAAACTAGCCAAAACAACAATAGCCACTTGAAATGTAGGAGAGTTTAAAACTGGGATATGAAGTGAAAATATAGTTTACATCCGTGTATGTTAAGTAAAATATTAAGGTCCTGTTCTATGGTCATATTTATCAAAAAACTGATTTGAAAGGAGATCTGTTTAATAAGCTATTTTGCTGTTTTCTTGCTATATTCTCATATTTAGAATATCGTAAAGTGATATCTTGTTGGTTTTGACAATTAAGCAAAATGTAGATTTAGCCTCCCCTTTAAGCTGAAGGTTCAGTTGAAACAAATTTTACCTGGCTATGTTAAATGCCACCCGACAGTCAGATTTATCAATCTCTCTTTTTCATGACTGGGTGCTTGAAAGAAGGGTTTCAGGAGATCTTAATTCAACCCTTTCCACAATTAATGTATATGACAAGGATTACAGGATTTGTTTAGATCTTAGCTTCAAAAAAACCTTTAGGGTTTTAAAATCTTAGCTTATAACCAACATGTTGAGTATAGGTAACCAAGTTTAGTGATTTGGGCCCAATTTTCTTAACACTTCCTGAATACCAGAGAGAGAGAGAGAGAGAGAGAGAGAGAGAGATGGTTGAGGAGGGTGGGGAGATGTTTGATGTTTTGGCACTTTCATACAATTTGACTTAGAAAATCAAGGTGAGGGTAGGGACAGGGTAGGGACAGGGAACAGGCTTAGTTTTCGACGGATTCATTTTGTTGTCAAACTAAGAGAAACCGGTATCACATATGGACCATCAAGCCCAGAAGAAAGAAGAGACTTAATCTGTAACTGGAAAACTTTAAGGAGAAAATGCCACAAGTTTGACAAGCAATTCGGTGCTATAACAACATCACCAATTTCACTCTCAAAAGCCTGAGGGGTCCATGTACACCCTTCGTGAACTCGCAGACCAATGGAGTCTGGAGGGAATTTATGTAGGTGCATAGTGGCTACCAGTGTGCAGGTCATCACACACTACATCAAATCTGTTCCTTGAGCAGAATTAAAAACAAAAACAAACGGGGACTGAGGTCAGCAGAGGGACCCGGCTACCAGGATCCAGGTTTGATTTCCCTCAAAAAGAAAACTTGTCTCCCCCTTCTCCTGGGAAGACTGGGGGATTAGAGGCAGGCAAAGCTGGCAGGTTACCTTGCGGGTATGCACTGTCTCCCCTGCCTGAGGCTAAAGGGGCCGCGGGGCGGAGCAGGTGGGCAGGTCCAGGACAAAGGGGCCGCCCATCAATCGTGCGGGGAGCGTCCCTGGGCTCCTCTTCCTCCTCCACTCAATCTTCCCTCCCGCTAGCGGCCCCTCTTCCTCCTTCTCCCCGGAGGCAGCTTTCTGCCGCGGCCGCCG